ATATTTCCATATTGTAATGTAGCTATGATGCCTTTTGTATAGAGTTGTGGTTTGGATGCATGCTGTAGACTCAAGTTTATTTATTCTATGGTTAATTTAACTATTTGTATGGTTTATTGGATTGGATTAGGAGTCATACATGCAACTGTGCTAACTTGGATTGTGGAATATAGAATGTGGTCTTGTGGATTCAAGTTTTTTTTTTTTTTTTTAAATGGGCTCTAAAGAAATCTAGATGTGTTTATCTAGTAACAAAAAGCTTTTGAGAAAATTGCAAATATTCCATATACCTTTGAGCCATTTTTCAACACCCCCATCAGCTTTGAAAAACAAGATACCTCCTTCAACTTTCACCTATCAAGATTTAAATTCTTCTATCCATTTTTTTTAAACTAAACACATTGATGGAGATGTCATCTCAAACTTTGTCGTTTGTCACATAATGGGCTATCATTCAGTTAGAAATAATACATGGCAGAGTTTGAAGTAGAATCTTTAACAGTGGAGTCAAAGAAATTGTGCAGGAAAAATTTAAGTTTTGAAGAGTGATGTTAAAGACGATGTTTGCAGATGGCATAAAGTTAATGATATACTTTCATTTTCTCTAAACAAATTATTGTAAGAAAAGGACATGGTGGTTCTTACCAGATAGACTCATTGATGTAGCCATAATCAATTCGATAACTCTTCCTCACTAACTTATTTGAGAAATATTCCATGCCATTTATGTAGGCTTCTAGAGGAAGAGGGCGGATTTCAAGGGAAGAAATTCCAGGAAATCTACTATATGAGGAAGCAAGTAAATAGAAGGGTAGTGTGTCTGTATTAATTGTCCATAGAAACTCTTCAGTCCATGGATAATCTTTGGTAAGATTTCTGAATGAATGAGAAAGATTTGCTCATGCCTTTTCATATATAGAAGTATAAGTTTTCATCTTATTTTTAACCAAAAAAAATTGCTTGCTTTGACTTATGTATGACTAGCTTGACATTATTAATTCATATCAAATTAATTACTCTAATATGTTATATTGTTCTTAATTTTTGCATGAGAATATATTGTTTTTTCTAAAGTGGTTGGTGATCTTTCATCTCACTAAATATGCTGCTATTCAAGGAATTTGGATTTGGCATGTGAAAGAAGTTAAATACTAAAAATTTCTGAATAAGAAAATGACAGAGACAGATATCTGTTGAGAAAAAGCTTGCAGAAGGGAAAAGAACACAAAGCTGGAAATATGTCTTGGTTTGTTAAGTGACAGAATCATTGAAAGTAGAATAATGAAGAAAGAAACTATAGAATGATGAAGAAAGAGGACAAATTGAGTTCAGGTCCTTCAAGAGAAATGATGACAAAAGAAGTTTTGTTGAGTCAAGTTAGTCACAGTTGGAATGTGAGAGTTAAAATCACTATTATTTCACACGGGTTAGTGATGAATGTTAATTTCTAATTTCTTAGAGAATTAAATTGAGTTTTGTTGTAGATCTAAAACTCATCATCAATGTATTATCAAGAAAATTACAAGTTGTAATCACATAATCCTAGAATTTGATTGTTTTGTGGCCAGTAGGAACATGATAATGATGTTATAAATTTAATCTATATAATCTATGATTATGTTATAATTGTTGTTTCTAACGTGTATTTTTTTTCCTTTATTGACTTTAGGTATATATTTGTTTATTATGTGTTAGGTATTTAAATGTTCTAAGGAAACCATAGAGTAGGGGAAAGGAAGAATGTGTCAATTTAGTATGAGTAAGGTACTGGGCTTCGATGGTAATTCACTTCCTTGTCTTATGAAGGTAAGAATGATTCTTGCAACCGGATATCTTGCTTTTAACATATGAATATCTACTTTCCTTTATGATGTAGGTACCATGCCTTTATTGTTTTATTCTCAGGAAAATTACAGTTTCATACTTCCCTTTAGAATAACACCATAATAGAGGTAATTTGTATGCGTATTGTAAAGTCCTTGGGTCCGAATTATACAGTCTCATCTCAACCTGTGCTTTACCATTTCACCACACAATCAATAAAGCCAAAATTAGAGTATATTCATAATAATAGGGTTAACGAAGCATGAATACATTCAAAAGACTCAAAATATAACAGTTTCCCAACCTAAAAATAGGCCATGCATCGCGGTGTGTAGCTTGTGTGCCATGGCATGTGGCAAAGAACACCTACCTTATTTCATACTGTGTCATACGCTGGTGCACCTGTCTAAAATTTTGCTGTCATTTTGATAGCAAAAATGATGAACTTCTAGCGTGTGTTATTTTCACATCCAATATCCAATTAGAGTGATTCAAGCGCTTATACAAAACTTACGATGTGTACTAGCTAATGGAACAAGTTCGGACTCGATTTGATGATCTGATCTAAAATTAGACACCCAAGTGCAAAAAGATATTTTTTCTTTCAAAAACACACCCCCCAAGTGCTCAATTTGCACTTCTTGTTCCGTTAGACCACTTTGAGCCTTGAACTAAGTCCAAAAGGACCACATACACTTAATTAACATCATATATATCAAATATCACATAAATAGCCCATTTTGGCCTCTTAAAGCCACATCTTGTGGTTTTATATGAGGAAATCAAATATATAGCAAAAATTCACATATAAAACTAGACTTGTTTCACTTTTCATCCTCTGACTCTCACATATAGGGCTCCGTCTCACCATATGGTCAAGAATCACATATGTACTTGACTCTTTCAAATAGAATTCTATCTCACCATTTGTGTCAAGTTCTTACCATTTGTGGTAAGTTCTCATACAATTAACATAATTCACATTCAATTCACAATCAATACACACTCATCACATATATACACTAGTGGAACAAGTTAGAACATCACACGTTTGCTTGTTCGTATTTTAGCCTACCCATGTACCCTCTTTAGGGGCATCCCCAGCACAATGCATCACATATACATATATACAAGCAAGTTTCACAATACCATCCATTTTCTCATATTGACAAACAAATATGCATCTTAGTTGGCAACTTAATTCTATCAACACATTTATACATTCATATCTACTCATAGGCAGTCATAACACTACCAATTGAGGTAACTCTTTTCTTGTTTCCTTTCCCGGCCTTCTCAAGCTCTCTTTACCTGTGTTTAAAAGTAATAGAATGAGATATACGTCCTAATAACTTGGAGGTAACCTCAATTATTGATTAGTAAGCAACATCATAAACAAGTGATAAAGTAGCATGAGTAATGGTAAAAGCAATAATATATGCATATATAGGAATTCATTCTCATCAATCTCATTATACGCATACAATGCAGTCTAATTCCCCCTGGTAGAGTAAACTCTACCCCTGGACTAGGCCCTCCAGTCACCAAGAATAGGGCCCACCATACCATTGCTCAGATCAGTCATTTTTATATGGGTGGTCTTCTAGGTTGATCATGGTGGAGCCTAGCTCTATGCTCTGGATTATCAGGACTTTTTAGCCTTATGCAGAGTAAGACTATGGCCGCCTACCTTAGTCTAGGGTAACCTTGTGGATCATTCAATATTCTAGGTCTGTCATGTAGAGTCAAACTCTATGCTCTTGGATTATCAAAATTTCTTCTCCTAGGTCTGTCCTAGTGGAGTCAAGCTCTGCGCTTTGGATCATCAGGATTTCTTTACCTCTTCATAGTAGGGCCACATTTCCCTATATCATAATCCAGGGTATATCTCGTGGATGTGATGCAAGTCAGTACACACGTCACTTCTCAAACTCATTTCAATTAATATTCACACACCGCATGCATATACTTTCACACTATTGCTACTCTATGAGTTCACAATACAATGCACGGAGTTATATTAAAATACTTACAAACAATTTCACAACAAACAAGTAAAAGGCTTACTCCAGTTACTTTTAACCCTTACTACTAAGGGTTACCAATCACATTAAGCTCCAAAGGGCGCAGATTGTCACGAGCAACTTCACAAGTGCTTAATCTACATAACAAAGTGCCCCTCAGTCAATTCTCAACACAATTCATAGGTATTAATTCGGTTAAACTGAATCACTTGACACATAAAACAGTTCAATTGAACCATTTTCAATTCACTTATTCATTATTTATGATCACTAGCCCTATAGGTTAATCAAACAATCATAATAACTTCCTAACACATTCATCCACCTAATTCACCTTATTGACCTAACTTTTAGGTCATTTTGAGCCTAAATGTTCAAAACTCAATCGTTCAACTCCATACTAGTCATACAACCTTAGTTTTATATTCGATATCCTATCTTAACCCTTTCTTTTAGATTACAACACCTTAGAATCTCATGGTTCGATTACTCAACTGATGAAATTCAATGAAAAAGAGGTAGTATTGAAGCTTGGGATTGCGCTATACTTACCCAGCAAGTAATCAATCGAAGCAGACTCCCGAGCTCTAGATAATGCTTGCCCTAACAGAGATGGCTCCTCTTGCTCTCCAAACATATCTCCAGCCTCCTCCCTTCTATTTTCATGAGCTGTTCATGTTAGCTTTAAATGATTTTTGGACGGTGTGCCACGGCACATGCAACCTTTGCCACGGCGCGTGGCATAATGAGAAAATTCTTACTTGTGCTTGTACGTTCTGTCCCGGATTTCCTCTCTATCCTTTCATCCTATCAATGCAACACCCAAACAACACAAAATATCAACTCCACACTCAAACCACAATCAATTCACTAGTTATTAATTTATCCTTGATTAGCAATTAGTTTTTAAGATTGAAATTCAGGATGTTACAATTCTCTCTTCGTTTAAGGGAATTTTGTCCCCAAAATTCAAACACAAGCCTAACTCACCTTACGGAAAAAATAAGGGTATTGCTTTCTTATACTCTCCTCCATCTCCCATGTCGCGTCACCCGAAGCCATTCCTCGCCAAAACACTTTAACCAATCAGATAGTCTTATTACACAACAACTACTTCTCTTAACATCCACTATCTGTTCTAGTTCAATTTTGATAAGTTAGGTTCTCCTGAAGCTCAACTTTTTTTGGCTCAATCACATGTGATAGATCCGGTTGATATTTCTTCAATTGTGACACATGAAACATCATGTATTCTGGATAGAGGTGGAGGTAAAGCAATTCTATATGCTATAAGACCTACTCTACTCAAAATCTAGTATGGGTTTTATATAGCGAGGTGTTAGTTTCTTGGCCCTTATAGACCTATCAATGTTGGCCAATGGCGAAACTTGGAGAAACACATGATCTCCCACTTCAAACTTTAACGGTCGACGTCACTTATCAGCATAACTCATTTGATGGCTCTAGGTAGTAAGAAGCTTTTGCTATATAACTATGATCTTTTCGGTGGTTTGATCCACAATATTAGGACCAATCACACTTCTCTCACTTAATTCAACCTAACACAAGGGTGATCTACACCTTCTCCTATATAATGCCTTGTACAGTACTATTTGAATACTCAAGTAAAAGCTATTATTATAGGCGAACTCAGCTAAAGGCAAATGGCTATCCCAGTTGTCTTTCCACTCAAGGGCACACGATCAAAACATGTCTTTAGTCTGTATTGGCGCTCTGTAACATCTCAAAAATTAACCTAAGGTTAATTAAGTTAATTTAGTGCAAATGAGTAATTTTTGAAGGAATATTTAGATATAAATAATTTTAGTTAGAAGATTATTATTGGATTTAATTTAGATTAAATTCTAAGTTATGATTTTATAGTAAATAGAAATAGTAATAATAATATTATTATAAAAAAAGAAAGAAGAAGAAGGAAAAAGGACATAAAATAAATTGAAAATTGAAGAGGGGAGAGAGAACTAATTTTTGCTTTGGGTGTTGAGGTGTAAATAATGCCAAAAAAAAAGTAATCTAAAGGGGTGGGGTGGAAATTTTCATGCGTGTGTTTGGTGTACATTATTATTATTATTGTAATAATAATAATGAGAAGGAAGAAAGACGTGTAGGCCCCCCAGTTTTCTTTTGAAAAGCACACATCTGATTCTTTTCTTCATTTCCTTCATTCTTCTTCTTCCTTCCCTTCTCACCGACAGAGAGCGAAACAGAGACAGCGAGCGTGACGCCTGCAGTAGAGCTGAAGTAGAAGATAGGGCTCCATATTAGGATACTTCAGATGAGATTTTAAGTATTTTAAGATTAGGTAAGTGTTCTAAACATTTTTTTTAATTGTTTTTCCCTTTGAATTGCAGATTTTGATATTTTGAAAACCTAGGGTTTGAAAGAGGGATGATTTGATGAGTAAATCTGATTATTGAGGTTGTTAGTAGTGTAATAAATATTCTAGAGTATTATTTTGTTGATAGAATTAGAATTTGAGGCATTTGAGTTTATCCCTAAATCCCTATGGGTAGATTTTTGGTTAAATCTGAAATATAAATTGATTTGTTGATATTTAGATGATTATTTGAGATGAGAAATAATATTATGGCTATAGAATCATGATTCTAGGCTTGAAATCAAGTTTGCAATTTTGGGTATTTTTATGTGCGAATTTTTGGAATAAAAAGGGAAATTTTGATATTAGAAAATTATTTGAATGAAATTATTATGAAGGAGACGATTGAACCTAGTAGATAGATTCAAATACATGAAATTAAATTTTAGAACTTAAGAGGCTAAGACTAAGGTCTTAAAAAAATGAAATAATAAAATAAATACTCAGGTGTTAGAGTTTGAGTGAAAATTGTGTTAATAATATTATTGACACATTGGGATATAATTAATTGTAGATTAATTTTCTTTTGACACCATTCAAGCTTTGGAAAGCTTTGGAAGTGTTGTAACTTGAGGGGTAACCTTTGACCTCTCAAAGGTTGAGGTAATCGGGGGAAATATATTTTATGCATTTGTATGTTAATTAATTATGTTGGTGAAATAAAAGAATATATATATATATATAGATATTACATATATATGTCTAAATTTTGAAATGGTTTATTTGTAATGCATGTGGCTTTGTTGAGACTCTATGACTTGTGATCAAGTTAATTATGACTTGGTGTGAGTAATGAGATTGATGGTTGTTGATATGTGTACTCTACTCTTGATTATGAATTGTGGATTATGCATAGTGATGAATTGTATGAACATGTTGAGTTTTATATGATGCTAATGTGGTTTTGTATGATAATATAAAATTGATGCAAGAGGCATGATTGAATATGATGATTCTTGATGTTTGTTGAGCAAAAAAGTTGATGAGCATGTGGGATAATTTGAATTAATATATGATTTTTTGAAATGCATTTTCTCATGAGTATGATCATATGACGGGAGTTCGCCTTAGTGAAGGAATTAGCGGTTATGCAAAATCCATATGGTACTTGGCTATTAACTAATAATCTTAGGGTTATAGCCGCTACTTACCTTGTAAGGTATTGTAGCATTGTTCCTATTAAGGGACTTGACCCCACTGGCCTACCTGGAGTTTTGCGTAGAGTTAGTTTTGGGTATGACACCCCATAGTGTGTGATTTAGGGGAAACCATGTTCATAAGTGAGTAAGGTAACCCTGACCTGGTAGCCCCTCATAATATGATTAAGGCCTTGGGTAGTCTCACCACATGGACGATCCCTTTCGGTTGTTGGCCCACACAGATTTCATGTCAGAGGAAATAAGGGGGGATATAAGGAAGAGATCGGTCATGTATATTATTACTATCATGTCATTGGAGTGATTGATGGCTATGTTGAGAAATGATTATAATTGTAGAAATGAGAACATGTAGTAATTATGCGAATAATGTATATGTAGCTATTTGTGCAAATTTTGTACTTGACTTTATTCTTAAAATTATTTACATAAGTTAAATGTTAATGTGATTAACATGTTATTAATGTGATTGTTTGAATGGTCACCTTGATAAATTTATTGGCCACTTGCATTCATGATTAATTATCATGCATTTGTAATAACTTAGAGATACCTTGATTACTGAGTGGTTGTATTCACCTCTCTCTTTTAACATATTATAGGAGCTAGCTCATCTCAGAAGAACAGAGAAAAGGAGCATTAGGCCAAGTGATAGTAATCACTTCTGTAGGCCTTTCTCTTTTTATTTTGATATGTGTATTTAGTTTTGATATTGCCAACTAGGATAATATATTCTTGATCCATTTGCATTATGGGTTTTGTATTGGGGGAAATGTATTTTGGGCCTTGGGGAATGTGGTTTGATGCTTGTGCTATATAATGGGCCAAAATATTGTGCAAGTGGAAATAGTTAATATTGCCTAATTTGAGAACTTGAATGTTGTTATGATCTCCCCTTGTGTTTTTTATGTCCAAGGGTGAGCAGTTGATATTAATTATATGCGAATAAAAGGAAAATTCATGTATATGATAGGCTATTGATGAATAGATGATATATAGAGTATGAGATTAGGTATAGTCATTGTGATAAATGTAATTGAGACCTTGACCTCCCGCTGCCAGTTATGGAAGGGTTTGAAGTGGCCAAGTATTATGTCGTAAATATGTATATATGTATTGTAGAGTAAGGCATAGAGAGAAAATAAAAAGGGAAGCTCTTCTTCCATGTTGATGTGTTTCCTTTATCATGCTTTCGCATAAGTTTAATTGAATGATATGAGTTTTTGGAATATTTTAAAGACTTGGGATCTCTTTATATTGAATTGTTTGTAAAAATATATATTAAGAATTTATTTAGATTAATCTCTTATAGGATAATCCTTTTGGGTTAGTCTTTGATTTATTATAGTTAGATGATGATAAGTCCTAATTTAAGATGGCCCCTTACACGTTCAATTTGTCTATTAGTCGGTGGATGGTAAGAGGTACTAAACCTCAACTTGGTATCTATTGTCTTCGGCAGCGCTCCCTAAAACCTCAAGTAAATTGAGGATCTCTATTTGACATTATCCTTGGGTACACCGTGCAGTCTCACTACAACTCATATACTTCTGCATACCTTTCCACATCATAGGTGGCCTTAATTGGCAAGAAATATACTAGCTTGGTCAATCGATCTACAATAACCCATACAGAGTCATATCTTGCCTGAATTTTCGGTAGACTAGATACAAAGTTCATTGAAATGCTATTCCACTTCTACTAGGGAATCTCCAGAGGTGTAGCATCTTAGTCAATCTTTGATGCTTGATCTTCGCTTTTTGACATGTGAGACACCGGTTCACAAACTCAGTAACATCTTATTTCATGCCTTGTCACTATCAATGCTTCTTTATGTCATGGTACATCTTGGTCACATCAGGATGCATCATGTATCTACTCCGACGAGCTTCTTCTAATAGTCCCTTCTGATATCCTCACTCGTTGGTATACAAATTCGGTCTTTATACAGATGAACCCATCATCACTGAAGTAAAACAAAGTAGTACGCCCTTCCTCTATATCCTCTTGCGTAGTTGTAAAAAAATGTGTCCCTCTTTTGACCTTTTTGAATCTCTTTCCAAAACTCATTGAAAATAGTGGTTGAGTGAACTGCATTCAAAGTATAATCTGATGCCTCAAGCTACACCTCTAGCAAAGGCAACAACAATTGATGTTCTTGAACCATCAATTCAGCCACATGTAATGATTTTTAACTCAAAGCATCAACCACTACATTGGCTTTCCCTGGATGATACTTAAACTTAAAGTTGTAATCTTTTAGGAACTTCATCCATCGCCTTTGCCTCATATTGAGCTCTTTTTGATGCACAAGATACTTCAAACTCTTGTGATCACTGCACACATTAAACTTTATACTGTTGAGATAATGTCGCTAAATCTTGAGAGCAAATACTACAATTGCTAACTCCAAGTCATGCATCGGATAACTCTCCTCATGAGGTCACAACTATCTAGATGCATACGCCACAAATCGGTCTTCTTGCATTAACACACACCTCAGACCTTTCAAAGAAGCATCTGTGTAAACTTCGTAAGGTAATTGTGGATTGGGAATTATCAACACTAGTCTGAGGTTAGGTTTTCCTTAAGCTTCACAAAAGCAGCTTCACACTAATCAACCCAAATGAAAGGTTGATCATTCCTCGTCAATCAAGTCAAAGAAACAGTAATATGTGAAAATCCTTAAATGAACCTTCTGTAATAGCTTGTTAAGCCCAGAAAGCTCCTCACCTCAGTCATTAAACTTAGTCATTCCCATTGTAAGACTTCATCCAATTTGTGAGGATCTACTGAAATATCCTTAGTTGACAGCATATGTTCGAGAAATTTTACCTCGTAGTCAAAATTCACACTTACTCAACTTGGCATATAAGTAGTTATCTCTCAGAATCCTTAATACAGTTCTCAAATGCCTTGTCAATACTAATAGCATTCTTCTCTAGAATCATTTTAAGAGAAAACATAGAAAATATGAGAAAAAAATATTTTTCCCATATCAAATATGATTTTTTCCCTAAAAAATATTAACAACAGGGAATGAGACTCGAAAATCTTAATAACCAATATTAAAATGCAATCATGTATGCAATGTAAGTAATCATGTGATTACTAAGTGAGCCATAGAAAACAATTTCAAACATGTTCCAAATAATACAAAACAAGTCCAAACAATATGCATGACCGCCCACCTTATTTCCTCCTTTCTCTGGACCTCTGTCCACACTTAGCACTAACTAACTTGGCCAAAGATAGGTTAGTCCAAGCCCTAACAAACTACTCATTAAATCTAATGAGGAGCATATCATGTGGCACCAAACAATTAAAAACATTTTCCCTAAACGTTTCTTTCAAACCTGAACAAGTCATGCATACAATTAAATCACAAGGTATAATTTCCAAACAATTAATCATACTTTCAAACATATTATTTCTATACAACATATACATATACATCTTTCATCCCACTTGAAAATATTTTCATAAATTAAAATACACATTATCCTATTTTATTCCAAACAAATATTTTCAACAAAACATAGGCACACAATCAATTACATAACAGATACAACAACAAATTAGTAGAGGTTGTCTCGATGCCTTAACAAAATATTTCCCATATAGATGGTTCCTCACCACCAACACCTTCTACACCACAATCTACACATAATTTAAACATATAATATTACCCTAATTATAGGGTTAGGTACAGTGAAACTTCACACCAAATCATATATTTAACTACCCAACAACCTGAGTCTTCCTTAAATCAACTTCTAAATTCCATTTTGTTATTATTATCACCATATATTGTCATTTTGATATCTCCATTGTTATATATCGTCTTCACATTCTTATTGTTATATATTTCATGTATTATGAGTTGCATATTACTATTGAATATTAGATTTCAATTATAATCTCATTAATTATATTGAAATCATTTATTTACTATTTTCGTACTTCTATTATTATCCTTATATCTCTAATTAAGATTTTTTTAAATTTTTTCTGTTTATTTATTTAGCTTCCTATCGCAAAATATCTTCTATTTCCCATAATTTTTATTTTTTTATGATATCATTTATTTATTTATTTTAACTAATTTATCATATCATTTATTTATTTTATAATTATTATTTTAATTTATTTTTCTTATTCTTATTAGAGCCTAGACAAAATAGGGTGTTAATTCACATGTGTATTTTGATTAAGGGGTTTATCTTCAGAAAAGATGGGTAATTATAAAATTAACAGATAATTTTAATTAATTATATATCATAGTATGTTCAAAGTAGTTAAATATGTCGTATAAAAGGGAAAGGGGATTAATTTCCTTCATATATTTACTTACCTAAGTAAATAGTAGACGTTTTAAAGCGAAATTAATTAATTAATTAACTTTTCAAATTACCAGATCTGCAAGACAGCCCAAACTTACCCGTGATTTTGATGAACCATAAATGAGAGCGTTAGCAATCCTACATCTCAACTAAAAAAAACGGCATTTAAATGAGCAATAGCTTTTGCATGTATACGTTTGACATGGCATTAACTGTAAAGTGTAAACTAAAATCATTAATAAGATAGATAGCCTGCTTGTGAGTCAGTCACGGAGTTGCTTGGCTTTTTCAGTATAAAATCTATTTCAGTTGCATCATTACAACGCCAATTAAATAAGTTATATCATGGCTTCCTTGTTCCTTCTCGTCTTGCTGTTTGCACTACTCACCCCTTCAGGGTTTGCCCATTTCTTCAGTCCACCAGTATATGAGCCCCCTATACAGAATCCCCCCATTGAGAAACCACCAATTTATAAACCACTCAATCACAAACCTCCTATAGAGAAGCCACCAATCTACGAGCCTACTATTTACAAGCCCCCGATCGAGAAACCACCCATTTACAAGCCTCTCATAGAGAAGCCGCCAGTCTACCAACCTCCTATTTACAAGCCGCCAATTGAAAAACCACCCATTTATGAACCTCCAATTGAAAGCCCGCTAGTTTACAAGCCTCTAATTGAGAAACCACCCATTTACAAGCCTCCCATAGAGAAGCCACCAATCTACCAACCTCCTATTTACAAGCCCCCAATTGAAAAACCACCCTTTTACGAGCCTCCAATTGAAAGCCCGCCAATCTACAAGCTTCCAGTTGAGAAACCACCTATTTACAAGCCTCCCATAGAGAAACCGCCAATCTACCAGCCTCCTATTTATAAGCCCCCAATTGAGAAACCACCCATTTACGAGCCTCCTATTGAAAATCCGCCAGTCTATAAACCTCCAATTGAGAAACCACCCATTTACAAGCCTCCCGTAGAGAAGCCACCAGTGTATCAACCTCCTATTTACAAGCCCCCAATTGAGAAACCACCCTTTTACAAGCCTCCTCTTGAGAAGCCGCCAATCTACAAGCCTCCAATTGAGAAACCACCCATTTACAAGCCTCCCATAGAGAAACCACCAATGTATAAGCTTCCAATTGAAAAACCACCCATTTACGAGCCTCCTATTGAGAAGCCACCAATTTACAAGCCTCCAATTGAAAAACCACCAATTTACAAGCCTCCCGTAGAGAAGCCACAAGTATATCAACCTCCTATTTACAAGCCCCCAATTGAGAAACCACCCTTTTACAAGCCTCCTCTTGAGAAGCCGCCAATTTACAAGCCCCCAATTGAGAAACCACCCATTTACAAGCCTCCCATAGAGAAACCACCAATCTACAAGCCTCCAATGAAAAAACCACCCATTTACAAGCCTCCAATAGAAAAGCCACCAATCTACCAACCTCCAATAGAAAAACCTCCAATTTATGAGCCTCCAATTTGGACAACCCCAGTTGAAAAACCACTAATTTAAAAGCCTCCAATAGAAAAGCCACCAATTTATGAGCCTCCTAGTTTTAAACCCCCACTAGAGAAACCTCCCATCTATAAGCCTCCCATTTCCAACTCACCAACAGAAAAGCCACCAATTTATGAGCCTCCCATTTACAATCAGCCACCCATTTACATGCCCCCAGTACAAAAATCATCAGTTAACAAGTCACCCATTTAGAAACCCAAAATTTGGGGAGTCTCCCATACAACGGTTTCCACATATCAACAAACTTGCCATTTACGAGCCTCTGTTGCCTCCCCCATCAATTTACAAGCATATGTAAAATAATAATTTGGTCTTCACGGTCTCAAGTAGAACATAACAACGTCTCTCTTAAATACTAACGACTTATATGTTTGGCACCTCGCATCTCTCACTTTGCAATACACGAGTAGATTAGCAGCAGGAGTGAGAAGACTTGAGAGGCAATGTGCTGTATTTTGATTTCTTTTTATATGAAGTATGCTTTTATCTTTTATTAAGTTCCATTCAGTTGATATGCTCATCAAGTTAACGATAACGATCCTTGAAAAATTGCTATACAGATCGACTGTTTGAAAATTCCAATGCAAGGAAGCCATCATAATTGCCATCACTATAATATCAAATTCGCAATCCGAAAAAATTAGTGATGGCCGGATTGACTGACCGATCGAATTTGCAATGGGATTTGCAATTTTTTTTTTTGTCAATAAATCAAAGCTTCCATCAATAATTTTGTCATATTTTAGTGGTGGTAGATCATTTTATATAGTTATGATGAGTTATTGATTGGCCCCAAATTTGAATGGATATTTTTAATATCATTTTCTCATAGGAACGATTTGTAGAATTGTGCTTCTTGTTTTTTTTTTTTCAATTCGTAGTCCAATCTCACTCACATGTCCTGTTATTCGTCATTAAACAAACATAATAACTTACTTAATTAGTTAGTTAACTAGTAAAAGAGAAAATGTCAATTAAGGATCATATAAAAGACCCTGTATTACATTTAAGACCTCATATTATTGAAATTCAAATGATAGATCTTGGTCCTTAATTGTAATTAAAAATAATATTAAGAATTGATAAAAAAAAATATCCTTTATCAAAGAACAATCACCATTCCCAATGGATTTATTGTAGGCTAGTAAAATCATTTATTGGAGAGGAGTTAACTGCGGTGGCTGTGGTTGCAACAGTGGCTATGGAAGTTTCGGCAGGATAAGCTAAAAAGGTAAGAGATAGTTAATAAAAAAATGATGAGAAAGAAATATTTAATAAAATGCATGAAATATTTAATAAAACATATCACAACTTGAACTATATTCACAAATCTCATAAGTCATATGGTAAAAGTACTAACAGCTTCAGACATAGTCTTCATCTCATCAGGAGGGAGGGCATGGAACGAGTACCTCTAGTACTTTTACATCTACCACCACTCTCACATGATCTTCTTGCATTTGCCTATGGTGGATAGTTTGTCTCGAAGTGTGAACGCTACCAAGAGTGACCAAACATCTATCAAGGTCCTTTAGATATAGCTTACAAAGTTCATTAGTATTTCCCACTAAAGGGCCCTCTGACACACGTCCAAGAACATTAATATCTTTCGTGCTATGAAATCTAAGAGACTGTGTATGAGGTGCATCAGTAGTTGTCTCTTGTTGTGAGGTCATAGAGGTCATCATCTCCTCTTTCATTTTTGCAAGTTGGGCTTCCAAGCAGACTTCCAAGCAAGCTTCAAATGAAGCTTCGACATCCTTCATTACTTGTTGCCTTATATTTGTCATTACACTTTCCAACTCCTCTCTCATAATAATACTCGGGCTACTAGAGCATGCAGGTACTTCAAAGTAATATGTGATTCCCACACCAAATTCAACACCTCTAGCACACCCCGAATGCTCTGATTTGCCCAAGATGTCATTTCTATCCTCTGGAGCAAAGGATCCTTGATCTTGTTGTTCCTTAAGAGCCTCATATAACAAACAGAAAAAATCATAATGAATAATTGAATTAAAAAATTAAATATTACTTACAATCATTTCAGCAGCCTCGTGTGCCTTCTTGCCTGTATACCCTCCTTTCTTGTATTAATGACCATATCTCCATTTAGCCTTACAAGAACTTATTTGGACCATTTTATACACATTAAGAGTCTCCATATGCATTCATTACATATTCTTAGTGTAAATTTGCCTAATTGTTCAATTACATGCATAAGGGGCATTTTGGTCATAAAATTCACTTTTTCACCAAAGTAGGGTTAAGCTAGAAATTTATGGTTTTTAATGGGCTCAAATGATTTCTCAAATTATTTTTTATATGTTCATCTTAGGTTGAGAGTTATTAAGAAAAGACAACTTTTTAACATTGTCTCCCTAATAGTTTTCAATTAGCCTTTGACTTTAGTTCAAGTGCATGCTTGTCTACATTTATGTCTTGTGAGGCTTTCATATTCATTTTTCCTTAGTAATTTTAATACTTTGAATGAATTTATCTTAGTCTAATTAAATAAACGTTACGTTATGATTATTTGATTTAATTGTAACCTAGGTGAATTAATGTGACAAATGAAGACATAATTCAAAGCAATCAAATAGAGCTTTTAAATGGAAAAAGAGGCATGACATTATCAGATTTAGAGAGGTCCAAATTAGGCTTGGAATAATGCATTGTATTCTACATTGGAATTGTCATCAATTTTCTTCCAAATTCACAAGTAGTTTTGGCTAAGTGGATAATTAGTTGAAAACCACAACCCTTTGCAAGTTTCTATCTCTTTTCTCTCATTTTCTATTAACCAATTTTGTGCAATTCATATCTCTCACTCTTTTTTCTATCTTCAAACATTTTCTCTCACTTTCTCACTTGTTTTTCAATTTTTCCATCCAATCAATTACCCATATCTCTCTCATTTCTCATCTAAATCACACAAAATCACATTCATTCTTCTCCTTTCTCTCTAATCTCATCCAAACACTCTAATAAAATCAAGGATTGAAGGCTAATATCATCATTGGAAGGAGATTAAGGGTTTAGCCACTTTGGTTCTCAATTTGGAAGCTTTGAAGATAATGATGGATTGCTAGATTTCTCAAGGGATCCTAGAGGGAAGATGGACGGAGGATGAATCAATAGGCTTCTAATGGATAAGACTTTCTAATTCACTTCATTTCTCTTATTTAATTTGATGTTTAACACTTTAGTCTAGGGTTATTCTATAACTGGTTTGTAATTCTAATTGGAATTCATTTTGAAGTAATGAGAGATACTTGTTTGGTTGATTCAGCCATCTCTAGAAATATACATAATCTTGTGTTTTTCTATTGATGATTCTTTTTCTTTGCTCTTATATAGTCTTGTGAGTAAGGTTAAAATATTAGAGAGAACTACCATAGTCTTAGGGTTCAATCTAACCATTGATGTGCCATGGTTTCACTAGGGTCTGTCTAACCTAAACACTTAGTCATTCTAAAATCAAACTAGGGAAAGAACCTAAGGATATTAGTGATGACTTAGGGAATTAAACTAGCTAGATCAAGTTTCTTAAGATAGTCTTCATAAGGAACTACTAAGAGGCCAAGAAGAGAAATCAATCACTAAATCCACAATTAATAAGATAGGTAATGATTTTTCTACTATCTAAACTCTAGGGCTCCACTTTATTAAAGGGTATTCACTTCACTCATTCTTTAGTCTAGGTTTTAGCATTTTTGTTCATTATTTAGTGGCTAAACTCTTCAACTTATAGGTAATTTGTTCACTAAATAACTTCATAATTAAATTGAAACACTCACTAGGGAGATGACCTAAGGTTGACCCTATATTACATTAGGGTTAGAACTATTATTATTTTGATAAGTGTGCGATTAACCCATTCAACAAGAGATAGTGGGTATAAGAGAATAGAAGGATTGAATTTAACTTCATGTTTGAATGATGCAACTACTTCTTCTCATGATTTGTTGATGAGTTTGAAATCTCTACTATTCTTAAACTTGAAATGCTTGAGAAGGGTATATTTTCTTGTGTTGTAGGTACTAATGTCATTGAGACCAAAGCTATTGGAAGAAAATTCTATACTTCCAAAATCCAAGGCTGTGGCTATAGTTTAGGCACTTGAAGATAAGTTGAATAAAAAGTGAGGCGCTGTGAGGGTTGAAAAAGAGAAAAAGCAATTAAGGAGCCTAAATTTAGCAAGGGGGCTATGAGTTCTACACCCAAGTTGGACTTGAAGAAAGTCATTCTTTCTTGTGTGGAGCCATCTACCTTCGCGTTGAAGCCTTTGCCATCCAATCTCAAATATGCATATCTCCTAAGAAGCTTTCAGTAATAATTTCTAACTCTCTATCTCTTAAAGAAGAAAGTGCATTGCTTGATGTTTTAAGAAAGAATAGGCATGTTATTGGTTGGACTTTAGTTGATATTCCTAGAATATACCCTATTGTATGAACTTATAAAATTTTTCTAAAGGACAATGCTAAACACACCAGGCAACTACAAAGGATACTTAACCCATTAATTTTAGATGTTTTAAAGAAAGAGGTAGTTAAGTTGCTTAGTGCTAGGATCATATACCCCATAGTTGACAATGAGTGGGTATCTCCAACTTAAGTTGTCCCTAAAAAGGGATGAATTACTGTGATTAAAAATGAGAAAGGAGAGCTTATCCCTACTAGACTTCAAAATTCTTGGAGAGTGTACATTGATTATAGGAAGCTTGATAATATGACTAGGAAGGACCATTTTTCATTGCCTTTTAGTGATCAAATGCTTAAGAGGTTGGCTTCTAAGTCTCATTATTGCTTCCTTGATAGTTTTAGTGGATACTTTCAAATTCCCATAGCTCTTAATGATCAAGACAATACCACTTTTACATGCCCCTTTAGTACTTTTGCTTATAGGAGGCTGCCTTTTAGTCTATGTAATGCACCTGAAACTTTCCAAAGATGCATGATGTCTATCTTTTGTGATTTCATTAAAAATAGTGTAGAGGTTTTTATGGATGATTGCATAGTATATGGCGAGTCTTTTGAGTCATGCTTGCATTCTTTAGATAAAGTGCTTGATAGGTGAAAAGAAGCTTATGCTTAACTTTGAAAAATGTCATTTTATGATTGACAAGAGCATTGTCTTGGGTCATTTGACTTCTTCAAAGGGCATAGAGATAGATAGGGCTAAGATTGATGTGACTGCTTCATTACCATACCTACTTGTGTGAAAAATTTGAAATCCTTTTCAGGACATGTTGGATTCTATTCATCAGGATGATAAATTAGGATTTAGCAAGGATCATATTCACCATAAAATATGACTTATTCCTCAATAATCATGATTTAGTGAGGAAATAATTTTCTCATTATTTCCTCACTAAATTTGTAGCTAAATGATGGGTCACTAATAATTAGCAAAGAATAATGTTTTCCTCAATAATTTAGCAAGAGATTAGTAAGGACCTAATTTCCTCACTAATAGTAGCGAGACCATAATTTCCTCACTAATCTTATATTTTTATCATGACCATTTAGATTGTCATCGCAATTTCCTCGCTAATAAATTTTATTATTTTATTATTAGTAACAAAATAGCAAGGCCTTTTTCCTTGGTAACAAATTAGTAAGGAACTAAATCCTCACTATTTCCTCACAAATTGGTTTAATTGGAGAGAAATAATTTCCTCATTATTTCCTCATTGAATTGCAAATTGGTTTTATAAGAATCAAAATTTTGGTTATAAATAAATCCAATTCAATCAAGCAATTGACTCGCAAGTGAAATTTTTATTAACAAATAATTCAATCCATAAACAATAACTGTATAAGAAATTTAAAGTACACAATATAATATAAGTTTGCCACATTAAAATCCCTGCCAAATTTAAAGTACACAATATAATCCCTTTAAGCCAATCCTTGTACACCCTACCAAAGCCTCTCTCCTAATATAGATTTAGCTCTGAAATTTCTAGTTGCTACCTTTAGTTCTTCGAAAGTGAAATCTATCAAGTTTGCCACATCCAATATCTATCCATTAGGTCACCTCTCCACCTCTATTTATTCATGTCTACAAGCCATTAGATTCCTTACAATCAAAAGAGGAATTATTGCAAATAAACTAATTAAGTTGTCAAGAAGAAAAGTGTCAAATGCAAGCTACAGAGAAATACACTTTACCATGGTAGTGGGTAAAGAGACAACACAAATACCTTCATGCTTGAGTGTGTGCTCATCTAGCCCGGTCCCCATATGCCACAACCTACAAGGAAAACATTTGTATTCTTCAAATGTTTGTACATAATATGGTTATTGTGAATTATTTATATTCTAGCAATTCACACAACTAAGTTGAGCTAAGTAGAGTATCTACCAAGAAAATAACTATCTTTTGCAACTCCATTAAATCAAAAGAACTAGAAATTATAATTGTTACAATTGCCTATTTGTAATCATAATCTTTCCTTAGCATAAGTATAGTTTTGTTTAGGTACTTTACAATAAGGGGCATAAAATGTATGAAAGGTAGTTATTTTCCAATCAACAAAATGTCAAGAGAATCTAGCTCAAAATGCAAAACTTTAAACATACAAATTAAATCCAAAGTCATCCATTCAAATTAAATGAATTATACTTGAGTACGTGTAACATCCTGAATTTCAATCCCAAGAACTAGTTGCTAATCAAGGGTAAATTAATAATTAGGAAATTGATTGTGGTTTAAGTATGGAGTTGATATTTTGTGTTGTTTGGGTGTTGCATTGATAGGATAAAAGGATAGAGAGGTAATTCAAGACAGAACCTGTGAGCACAAGTAAGAATTTTCTCACTGTGCCACGTGCCGCGGCGCACCATCCAAAAATCACTTAAAGCTTATGTGAATAGCTTATGAAAATAAAAGGGAGGAGGCTGGAGAAGCGTTTGAAGAGCAAGAGGAAGACATCTCTACTAGGGCAAGTATTATCTGGAGCTCAGGAGTCTGCTTCGATTGATTACTTGCTAGGTAAGCATCACGCAATCCTAAGCTTCAATTCTACCTCTTTCTCATTGAATTTCATAAGTTGAGAAATCAAACCATGAGATTAGGAGGCATTGTAATCTAAAAGAAAGGGTTAAAACGAGATATCGAATATAGAACTAAGATTTTGACCAATATGGAGTTGAACAGTTGAGTTTTAAGCATTTAGGCTCAAAATGACCTAAAAGTTTGGTAAATAGGGTGAATTTGGGTGGATAAGTGCGTTCGGAAATTGTTATGATTGTTTGAATAGCTTATAGGGCTAATGACCATAAATAATAGATAAGTAAATTGAAAAGGGTTCAATTGAACTATTTTATGTGTTAAAGGATTTTGTTTAGCTGAAATCAATGCCTATGAATTGTGTCGATAATTGACTGAGAGACACTGTGTTATGTGGATTGAGCACATTTGAAGTTACTCGTGAGAATCTGTGCCCTTAAAAGCTTAGTATGATTGGTAACCCTTAGTCGCAAGGGTTACTATTAACTAGAGTAAGCCTTTTACTTGTTTGTTTATAAAATTGTTTGCAAGTATTTTAATATAACTACATGCATTGTATTGTGAATTGATAGAATAGCAATATTGTGAAAGTATATGTATGTGAATGTGCGAGTATTGATTGAAATAAATTTGAGAAGTAACACGTGCACTGACATGCATAGCATCCACAAGATATACCCTAAATTATGGTAAGGGGAAATGCGGCCTTATTATGAGGAGGTCCAGGAAGTCCTGATGATCCAGAGCGTAGAGCTTGACTCTACTAAGATAGACTTAGGAGAAGAAATCCTAATGATCCAGAGCGTAAAGCTTGACTTTGCCATGACAAACCTAGGAGATTGAATGATCCACGAGGTTACCTTAAACTAGGATAAGGGGTTGTCATCCTACTTTATATAAAACTAGGAAATCCTGATGATCCAGAGCATAAATCTGGGCTCTACCATGATCAACCTAGAAGACCACCTATATGAAAATGACCTAGTCTGAGCAGTGGTATGATGGGCTCTATTCCTGGTGACTGGAAGGCTTGGTCCAGGGGTAGAGTTTACTCTACCGGGGGGAACTAGGACTGCTTTGCATGAGTATAACGATATTGATGAAAATGAATTCCTATATATGCATATATTATTGCTTTTACCATTACTCATGCTACTTCATCGCTTGTTTATGATTTTATTTACTAACCGATAGTTGAGATTACCTTCGAGTTACTAGGATGTATGTCTCACTCCATTACTTTTGAACATAGGTAAAGAGAGATTGAAAAGGCTGGAAAAGAAAGCAAGAAAAGAGTAGCCTCAATTGATAGTGATATGACTCCCTATAAGTAGATATGAATGTATAAATGTGTTGATAGAATTAAGTTGCCAACTAAGATGCATATTTGTATGTGAATATGAGAAAGTGGATGGTATTGTGAAACTTGCTTGTATATATGTATATTTGATGCATTTTGCTAAGGTGGCCCTGAGGAAGGTGCATGGGTAAACTCAAATGCGAACAACCAACCGTGTGATTTTATAACTTGTTACACTAGTATATATATGTGATGATTGTGAATTGAATGCGAATTGTGTTAATTGTATGAGAACTTAACACAAATGGTAAGAACTTGATACAAATGATGAGGTGGAGCCCCATTTAGAAGAACCGAGTACATATGTGATTTCCGACCATATGGTGAGACAAAGCTCTATTTGTGAGAATTGGAGGATGGAAAGTAGAACAAGTCTAGTTTCATATATGAATTTGTGCTATATATGTGATTTTTTTCATATAAAACCATAAGTGTGTAATGTGGTTTTGAGAAGCCAAAATGGGCTATTGATGTGATATTTAATATATATAATGTTAATCAGGTGTATGTGGTCCTTTTGGACTTAATTTAAGGCCCAAAGTGGTCTAATGGAACAAGAAATGCAAATTGAGCACTTGGGGTGTGCGTTTTTGGAAGAAAAGTGACTTTTTATACCTGAGTGTCTAATTTTAGATCAGATTGTCATATCGAGTCCAAAATTATTCCATTAACTAGTACATATCGTAAGCTTCATGTGGATGCTTGAATCATTCCAATCGAATATCGGATGTGAAAATGGCACACGCTGAAAGTTCATCATTTTTGTTGTCAAAATGACAACAAAATTTTAGACAGGCGCGCCACAGTGCATGACGCAATATGAAACAAGGCAAGTATGTCACGACACACATGCTGCACGCCATGGCGTATAGCCCATTTTTTAGGTTGGGAAATTGTGATATTTTAAGTCTTTTAAATGGGTTCATGCTTTCATTAGCCCTATTATTTGAATATATGTTTTAAGAAGTCAGGATCCCACGATTTTGAAAACAAATTAAGGGCTATTACTCTGATTTTGGACTTATTGATTATGTGGTAAAAAGGTAAAGCACAGATTGAGATGGGACTTTATAGTTCGGCCCTAAAGACTTTACAGTTTGGTATCAGTTTTTTATGGTTTTGATCTATTTGGACCTTGCATTGCATTAGTTGGCAACTTTTATATATTCATTACTCTTTTTTAGCCTCTAACACCTATTTACTGACTTTTTCTACCTTTACTCTAAAGGAGGGAAAAAAGGTATGTGAAGCTACTGTAGCTATATTGTTGCATTGCTATAGAGCTATAAGACAACGTGGTAGAGTTCCACGACGCACACGGGCTCAGCATGCCTAAGATATGCAAGATTTGAAGCTCCCACCGGAATAACCTCATGGTAATGACCCTATCATGGCACATATACTAGAAGTCATGCTGAACATTCAGAGAAGTCTAGCAAGCCATGATGCCCTGAACCGTAATAGGGATTACAAGGAGCCAAGGCTAGAGCAAGAGGCAAGCCTTAAGGGTGAAGAGAGAGTAAAAACTGAGCAGCAACTTGAGATACAGTTTAGTGGGCCAGTGACCTCCCATGTTGTAGGGAGTAGACCAATGACCAATAAGGAAGATCAACAGATTCCCATAGACTGAGTCTAGAGGACTTTTTTACGATTGAATCCACCAACTTTTGATGGCAACATAAAAGAGGGAGATGTTAAGAACTGGATCAAGAAGATGGAGACCATTTTTTAGGTTACTTTATGTTCCTCTGAGCAATAAGTGGCATTGGCTATTGTGTAGTTGATTGAGGATGCCAAACATTAGTGGCATTCGATAAGACCCTCGAGTGGTAGTCGGCTCAATTGGGAGCAGTTCAAAGTGAGATTCTTTAACTATCACTTCCCTGTGACTTTTAGAGATGAGAAAGAAGTGAAATTCTATACTTTGTAGTAAGGAGAGTTGGATGAGGAGTCATTTATGAGGAAGTTCAACCAGCTTTCTAAATTTGTAACTTATCTACATGAGAAAGATGATAGCAAATAGAGAGCTAAGAGTTGAAAGAAAAGATGCCCCCTGAGTATAGAAGGCAAATTGCCTTGTTAGGAGAAGCTACATACGAGGAAACTTGCAACCAATTTTGAATAGCTGCGAGGCGAGGTCGAGAGGCAGATGTTAAGAAGAGAAGAGATAACTATGAGTAGTTTTCCATTGCATTAGGCCCAACTGGAGGGGTATCAAAGAGAAGAAGTTTTGGTGCCAGTGGTTCTGGATCCTCGGGCACGAGGATATTCAATAAAGGAGCACAATCTCGAGGAGTAATTGGCTAGGGCAAAAGGTTTAATAGGGCTAGAGATTCTAGAACTCCACAGCAATCGAGTCAGACTACTACTGCCCTTACTTCTCGTGTGAGCACTACGTGCTCACCTATGTGCACGATTTGCAAGCAAAATCATCCTAAAATGTGTTAGGCATACTACATCTGTGGTGGTATGGGTCATTTTGTGAGGGATTGCCTCAAGAATTGAGGGGGAGCTTTTGAGCAGTGGCTAGCATTGCTAAGACTAGTTTACACTATTTCTCGAGAGGAGGCTCAAACAGTGCCGAATTTGATCATAGGCACAATTTCTATTTGCGAGCAAAAAGTTGAGGTTCTATTTGATTCGAGAGCTACTCATTCATTTGTATCGCATGATTGTGTAGAGAAGTTAGATTTGCCTATGCATGAATTGCCCTATATTGTTAAATTGTCTACACCCTTTGGACTACTGGATAAGACTAGTAAGGTATGTAAAAGAGTTGAGTTATGCTTTAAGGGTAGAACTTTGGTGATAGATCTGATCCTGATTCCTATGCAAGGATTAGATGTTATTATTGGAATGGACTAGTTGGTAGGAAATAATGCTACCTTGGATTGCGCCAAGAAGATGGTATTACTACCAATTCATGTGACACCTACTATGGTTTCCATAATAATCGCCAATCAGCTAAGATTGTTATCAGTAGTACAAGTTGAGAGGTTGGTTTCTAAAAGTTGTCAAGCCTATGCAGTTTTCTTTATGATGGAAGGCAGCGGCAATAGTGACAATATTGATAAGATTCAAGTGGTGAATAAGTTTCCAGAAGTGTTTACGGATGAGGTATCAGGTTTGCCACTGGAATGAGAAGTAGAATTCTCTATTGATTTGGCAACTGTACCGAGCCGATTTCAAAAGCACCATATAGAATGGCTCCTTTTGTATTGGTAGAGCTTAAGAAGCAGCTTGAAGAGTTGCTAGAGAAGGGTTTCATATGCCATAATGTGTCACCATAGGGTTCGCCAGTCCTGTTTGTGAAAAAGAAGGATGGCAACCTATGATTGTATATCGATTATAGGCAACTGAATAAGGTGACAATAAAGAACAAGTATCCATTCCAAGAATAGATGATTTGCTCAATCAGCTAGTGGGAGCTTCAGTGTTTTCTAAGATTGATTTGCAATCTAGGTACCATCAGTTGAGAGTAAATTCAAAGTATGTGCCCAAGACAACATTTTGTACTCGATACAGTCACTTTGAGTTTTTGTGATGCCATTCAGGTTAACAAATGCACTTATAGTTTTCATGGATTACATGAACTATATATTCCGTCCCTTCTTAGATCAATTTGTTGTCATGTTCTTAGATGGCATACTGATATACTCTAAGGATGAAGAAAAGCATGCAAGGCATTTGAGAACTGTATTAAGGATTCTGAGAGATAACTACTTATATGCCAAGTTGAGTAAGTGTGAATTTTGACTACGAGGTAAAATTTCTCGAACATATGCTGTCAACTAAGGATATTTCAGTAGATCCTCACAAATTGGATGAAGTCTTACAATGGGAATGACTAAGTTTAATGAAAATATTTTAATTTATGAAAATATTTTCAAGTGGGATGAAAGATGTATATGTATATGTTGTATAGAAATAATATGTTTGAAAGTATGATTAATTGTTTGGAAATTATACCTTGTGATTTAATTGTATGCATGACTTGTTCAGGTTTGAAAGAAACGTTTAGGGAAAATGTTTTTAATTGTTTGGTGCCACATGATATGCTCCTCATTAGATTTAATGAGTAGTTTGTTAGGGCTTGGACTAACCTATCTTTGGCCAAGTTAGTTAGTGCTAAGTGTGGACAGAGGTCCAGAGAAAGGAGGAAATAAGGTGGGCGGTCATGCATATTGTTTGGACTTGTTTTGTATTATTTGGAACATGTTTGAAATTGTTTTCTATGGCTCACTTAGTAATCACATGATTACTTACATTGCATACATGATTGCATTTTAATATTGGTTATTAAGATTTTCGAGTCTCATTCCCTGTTGTTAATATTTTTATAGGGAAAAAATCATATTTGATATGGGAAAAATATATTTTTTTCTCATATTTTCTATGTTTTCTCTTAAAATGATTCTAGAGAAGAATGCTATTAGTATTGACTAGTCACATGATTATTTAAATAAGCAATGGATGGCCATTGCTTTATGTTATGTTGATAGGGAATGAAGTATTATTGAGCGTTTTACAAGTGTAGCCCATGTTATAAAGATTACAAACATTGTTCTTTTAATTCCACAATTGAGAAATAGTTATTTAAATGAGGGTTAAGCATATCAAGTATTCATGGGCAAGGTTATGATGGTGCCAACAATTTGCAGCGTGAATTATCCAGTCTACAAATTCTAATTTTATAAGTAAATTCACAAGCATTTTATGTGCAATATTTTTCTCATCAACTACAACTTACATTAATTGTTGTAGCAACAAAAAATCATATTCAAGTTGCTGCATTTTTCAATTTAGCATCTACTAGATAAAATGTTCTTGGGAGTCCTTGTAATTTTTTTGACATGATTCATGAAACAGAAAATAGCAGAAATGAAGGAGACAATGGAACTAAAAGACATGGATTCTACGCTAAGGTAAGTCATATATTAGTAAAAGAAATACAAGCATGGCGTCACGCGCGTATGCATGTGATGTGGAAAGATATGATGGTCCCGATGAGGATGACATGACACGACATTGCCCGCAGGTGGGAATGGATTGAAGGAAATAAAACTTCATTCTAATATGTCAAAAAAAATTTTTCATAAAATTTTCTTAAAATAATTCAAGAGAAATAGTTTCTCACAGAAAATTTTAAGGGCTTAATTTTTTTTTTCTTTTGAGAGAAAATCTAAGAGAAATCTCTTTGTTTCTCTAAAATTTTTGAAATTTTCACTTAGAATAATTCTTGAGAAAAATGCTATTAGTTATGATGAGTCACATGATTATTCAAATAAGAAATAAATGTTGTTGCTTTACGTTATGCTTACAGGGAAGGAAGTACTGTTGAGGGTTTTACTAATATAGACCATGTTTCAAAGATTACTAACATTGTCCTTTAAATTCCACAATTGACAAATTGTGATTTAAATAAGGGTGAAGCATATCAGGTATTGATGGGCAAGGTTATGATGGCGCCAGCAATTTGTAGCGTGAATTTTGTAGTCTTAAAAGTATAATTTTATAGGTGAAGCCATAAGCATTTTATGTGCATTACTTTTCTCATCAACTATAACATAGGTTAATTGTTGTGCTATTTAAAAACAATAATCAGGTTGCCGCAATTTTCAATTTAGCATCTACCAAATCAAATGTTCTATCAATACATTGCCTACAGGGGGGAAGGGATTGGAGGAAATAAAACTTGGTACAAATACATCACAAAAATTTCTCAAGAAATTTCTCTAAAACTATCCAGAGAGAAGTTCTAGCATATTATTCAAATTAAATCATTTTGTCTTTGGTAATAGTTTCTCATCAAAAATTTCAAGATAAAAAAATTTCGTTCGAGTTTTTTCTTTCTTAATTTTCTATTTTTGAGAGAAAATCCAAGAGAAATCTCTTCTCCCTCAAATTTTCAAAGTTTTCATCTAGAATAATTCTATAGAAAGATGCTATTGGTCATGACAAGTCACGTGATTGTTCAAATAAGTAATAGATGCGGCTGCTTTCCATTAGGTTTAAAGGGATGGAAGTATTGTTGAGCATTTTATAAGTATAGTCCATGTTACAAAGATTATTAACATTGTCCTTTTAATTCCACAATTGAGAAATAGTTATTTAAATAAGGGTTAAGCATATCAAGTATTCGTGGGCAAGGTTATGATGGCGCTAGCAATTTGTAGTAAGAATTTTATGGTCTTGAATTTTCAATCTTATAGGTGAATCCACAAGCATTTTGTGTGCATTACTTTTCTCATCAACTAAAACTTACGTTAATTGTTGTGCTAGCTAAAAATCATATTCAGATTGCTGCATTTTCAATTTATCACCTACCAGATCAAATGTTCTTGGGAGTCCTTGTAAGTTTCTAGACTTGATTCGTGAAAAAAAAAAGCCCAAATGAGGGAGACACTGGAACCAAAATGTGCGGAATCTATGCCAAGGTAAGTTGTACATTAGTAAAATAAATACAGGCATGGCATCGTGCACTCATGCAAGTAATGTGGAAAGACATGATGATAAAGAGGAGGATGACATAGCACGACGTTGCCTGCAGGTGGGAAGGAATTGACATAAATAAAACTATTCAAAAAAATTTCTCATGGAATTACTCTTAAAAACTAAGCGAGAGAAGGTTCTCACGGACTTCTCCGAGGAAAGTTCTCAAGGATTATTCTAAGAGAACCATTTTCTCTCGGAATAATTCAAGGGAAATAGTTTGTCATAGAAAATTTTGAGAGAAAAAAGTTTCCTTGAAGTTTTTCTTATTTATTTTTTTTTCAAGAGAAAATCTACGTGAAATCTCTTTAATTTTCACCTAGAATAATTCTAGAGAAAAATATTATCAGATATGACTAGTGACATGATTGTTCAAATAAGCAATAGATGCCATTGCTTTACATTATGTTTACAGGGAGAAGGAAATAAAGTTGAGCATTTTACAAGTATAGTCCATGCTACAAAGATGATTAACATTGTCTTTTTAATTCCACAATTGAGAAATAGTCATTTAAATTAAGGTTAAGTATATCAAGCATTTGTGGGCAAGGTTATGATAGCATCAACAATTTGCAGCATGAATTTTGTGGTCTTGAAAGTCCAATTTTACAGGTGAAGCTACAAGCATTTTATGTGCATTACTTTTCTCATTAACTAAAACTTATGTCAATTGTTGTGCTAGCTAAAAATCATATTTAGGTTGCTGCATTTTTTCAATTTAGCATCTGCCAGATCAAATGTTCTACTAATAGGTTGCTCGCAGGTGGGAAGGAATTGGAGGAAGTAATACTTTCTACAAATACGTGATGAAAATTTCTCATGGAATTTCTCTAGAAATTTATCCGAAGAAGGTTCTCATAGACTTTTTCAAGAGAAGTTCTCGTGAATTATTATGAGAGAATCATTTTCTCTGGGAATAATCTAAGAGAAATAGTTTCTCACCAACAATTTTGAAAGAAAAAAAATATCCTTTTTGTTTTTTCTTGCTTAATTTTTTTCCGAGAGAAAATCTAGGAGAAATCCAGGGTTGTTTGAAACTATTTTCATTTTATTATTCTTAAAACTGGTGTTTTATAGAACATGTTTTGAGAATAAAAAATAAGAAAAATTGGTATTTTTCTCATTCTCCCTTGTTCTCCAGAACAATAATCCCATAATATCTAAATTTTTTTTCTATTTTTATGTTCTCTAGTACAATATTTTATTTTTTTTGTTCTCCAAAACATTTTTTGAAAACACTTTTTCTAACAATTTTTTTTGTTCTCTTGTTCTGGAAAACAGAAAACTGTTTCCAAAATAAGTTTTCAAATAAAGCCCTATTTTCTCTCAAATATATTAGAGAGAAGGTTCTCGCAGACTTTTCTAAGAGAAGTTCATACGTATTATTTTGATAGAATCATTTTCACTCGGTATAATCCTAGAGAAATAGTTTCTCATAGAAAATTTTGAGAGAAAAAATATCCTACGAGTTTTTTCCTGCTAAATTTTTTTCGACAAAAAATCCTAGAGAAACCAATTTTCCTTCAAACTTTCAACGTTTTCACCTAGAATAATTCTAGAGAAAATACTATTATTTATGACAAATCATGTGATTATTCAAATGAGCAATAGATGTCACTGCTTTATGTTATGCTCACAGGGAAGGAAGTATTGTTGAGTGTTTTACAAGTGTAGTCTATGTTATAAATATTACTCACATTGTCCTTTTAATTCTGAAATTAAGAAATAATTATTTAAAAAAGGGTTAAGCATATTGAGTACTTGTGGAAAAGGATATGATGAATTCAACAATTTGGAATGTGGATTTTGTAGTCTTAAAAATCCAATTTTACAAGTGAATCCACTAACATTTCATGTGTATTACTTTTCTCATCAATTACAACTTACATTAATTGTTGCGGTAACTAAAAATCATATTCAAGTTGTTGCATTTTTGAATTTATCATCTACTAGATCAAATGTTCTTAGAAGTCATTGTAAGTTTCTTTATAAGCATGGCACCACACACGTATGGAGGTGATGTGGAAAGAAATGATGGTCACGAGGAGGATGACATGGAATGATGTTGCTTGCAGGCGGGAAAGGATTGAAAGAACTAAATGTTTCTTCCAATATGTCAAAAAAATTTCTCACAGAATTTCTCTCAAAGAGTATCCAAGAGAAGGTTCTCACAACCATTTTCAAGAGAAGTTCTCATGGATTATTTTAAGAGAATCATTTTCTCTCAGAATAATTTGAGGGAAATAGTTTCTCACAGAAAATTTTGAGAGAAACAAATTTCCTTCAAATTTTTTTCATGCTTAATTTTTTTTTCTTTCAAGAGAAAATCCAAGTAAAATCTCTTTTCTTGCAAATTTTCTAAGTTTTTACCTAGAATAATTCTAGAGAAAAATACTATTTGTTATGATGAGTCACATGATTGTTCAAATAAGCAACAGATGCCATTGTTTTACATTGTGTTTACAAAGAAGGAAGTACTGTTAAGCATTTTACTAATATATTTTACATTATAAAAATTACTAACGTAGTCCATCAAATTCCATAATTGAGAAATAGTTAGTTAAATAAGGGTTAAGCATATCAAGTGTGCATGGGCAAGTTTATAATGGTGCCAACAATTTGTGGTGTGAATTTTGCAGTCTTGAAAGTCCAATTTTATATGTGAATCCACAAGCATTTTATGTGCATTAATTTTCTCATCAATTGTAACTTGCGTTAACTGTTGTTGTAGTTAAAAATCATATTTAGGTTGCTGTGTTTTTTAATTTAATATCTACTAAATCAAATGTTCTACCAATACATTGCCCATAGGCGGGAAGGAATTGGAGGAAATAAAACTTTCTTACAGAATTTCTTTCCAAAACTATATGAGAGAAGGTTCTCACAGACTTTTCTAAGAGAAGTTCTCACAAATTATTATGAGAGAATCATTTTCTTTTGGAATAATTTGAGAGAAATGGTTTCTCATAGAAAATTTTGGGAGAGAAAATTTCCTTTTTCTCTTGTTTAATTTTTTTTGCCAAAAAATCCAAAAGAAATCTTGTTTCTATCCGAGAGAAGGTTTTCATAAATTTTTTCGAGAGAAGTTCTCACGTATTATTCTAAAAGAATTAGTTTCTCTTCGAATAATTTGAGAGAAATAGTTTCTTATAGGAAATTTTGAGAGAAAAAAATATCCTTCAAGTTTTTTCTTGCTTAATTTTTTTTTGGAGTCAAAATACAAAAGAAATCTTGTAATGCTTGCTTCAAGTGTTATCAAAAACACACTACAATTAAATAAACAAAGTGTAGTTAAGAAAATGATCCTAAAACTAATCTAGGAGACAAACTATTTCAACCACTAAACCAATGCCACCACAGAAAAATATACATGTAAAACATTTTAGAATAGTCTAAAGATTCAACATTTAGCACACGAAAGCAAAACTAGGCAAAACTGGGGAAAAGAGTTGCTGTCATGACAGCATTAATTTACTGTCATAACAGCCTTCATCGGCCCATTTTCATGAGGAGCCTTTTGGCAATCCGACCTCCGATCAAAGTGATTTAAAGAGTACTACTTTAAAGAGTACTACTAGTATCCTAAATTTCAAGAAAATCAAACTGTTGAATTGAAATTTAAAGAGATAATATTATGAAGTTTCCATTGAATCTCTTGATGTAAACACAGTGGTCTTCCTCATTCATTTCGAAGTCATATGAGGTTATTACTCTGTGAAACCTCACATACCACTATCTGGATGATTGTTTTAGTCCATAAATTGATCTATTTAATTTACATACTTTATCTTTTTTTCCTTTTTCAATGAAACCTAATGGCCGTTGCATATAAATTTCTTTATCCAGATCACCATTTAGAAAAGCAGTTTTTACATCCATCTGGTGCAACTTTAAGTCTAGAATATCTACTATTGCCAAAATCAGTATGATAGAATTGAAGTGTATAATAGGAGAAAATGTATCCTCATAATCTATTCCCTCTTATTGTGTATACCCTTTCACTACTAAGCGAGCCTTGGATTTATCAATTGATCCATCCACTTTTCTTTTGATTTTGAGAACCCACTTGTTCCCAATAGCCTTTCGGTCATGTGGTA